ACCCATTGACTTTTTCTAGTGCAACATACATGTTATATATGGATTACGAACGTCGTTTAGTATGTTTCTCTTCATTTCTCTCAATGGTAAATTACTCAGCACAAATTTAGTTAAACCTCATTACTCATAATTTAGTCTCTCAATGATACATGATGTGTGAATCTATGATTGATCAAAATTGCGAGAAAATGTGTTAAAAAAATATCTAAATTGTAATCGACTCACTTTATGCTCTTTTGACATTTATAGTAGATAATCCTCAAGAAACACCTATATTTTTTCAAAGTTATATAATTTTTCTATGTGTGTTGGTATTGCATTGCATGCATGCAAATTCAAGAGGAAAAGGTAAAGATTAAAACAAAACATTCTATATATTAATTGCTCCTCATATTAACTTTCATATCCAAAGCATAACAATTTTGGGTAAGTATGTGCAAATATCCAAGTATTGTATTTATTATTGGATATGTATAGCGTATATCCGATAAATATCCGAGAATATCCTATTGATTTCATATTTAATAAAAATATTTCGAACTTAACGAAGTATTTGTATTGCATAAGTTATATTTATTAATTCTATTTATAGTTCTATTACTTTTTTTATATATTGCTGAATTAACATACTATACAGCTAGTCATTAGTCACTTGAGCACACAAATTCAAGTCACAAAAGTCAGTAGATTACCACAACATAAATCCATTAAGAAAGGCAAATGCATGACAGCCCCTTATTGAATTGAGATTTGAGGTTTGAGCAAGACGCAGGCACTTCAGGTAGTCAGTCAAACATAACCGAAAAAGATCGCTTGAAAATAAAAAGAATTTCATTGTATTTCAGTCAACTACATCGGTTCAGTCATCTACACAGGATGTGTGTTTCAACCAACTCACTAGTCACTATCGTGGGACTTGACTACGTCATCCAAGAAAAAGATTTGCTAGTATCTTTTTAATTTTTACTATTTTAACGACTGTTTTTATAATTTTTGTAAGTTATTTTATTATTTTTTTGAATAATTTATTATTTTTGTGAGTATTTTTATCACTATTACAAGTGTTTTTAACACATTTACATTAAGTATTATTTTCACTTTTCTTTGGTATAAAAAATTATTTTCCATTTTTGTTAGTGATTTATAGGTATTTTTACCACATTTATAAATATTTTTATCATTGTTGTAGTAACTATTTTTATCATTATTTTGAATACTAGAATAGTGATAAAATATCTATAAATATAATAAATAAAAGTATAACTTCGAAGAAAACAAATTTGGTACCCTAATCACCTCCCATTATCATGTCATGCACAACATAATGGTAGGAGCTAAAGTTAGTTTATAATGTTAAATGGAGGAAGTAGTCTATGGTACTGAAAAAAAAAAAATTAGTTTTGTACCTTTATTTATAATTTATGGTAATTTTTTTTATCATTTTTGTAATACTTGTGATCAATCCTACCACAAAAGTGATAAAAATACCCACAGTTTTTTAATTTTTTTTGTAAAAACACCTACATTTTTTTATTTTTTTTAAAATACCCACAAAAATTTTAAATTTGTTTATTAGAAAATGACCCATAAAAATTATAAAAACACATATTAAAGTGGTAAAATTTCGACGTACAGTACCGAAATTTTTTTTTCAGTGTCGTAGTGTTCTCCTAAATAGAGAAGTGGGTTTGTCTTGTGTAGTGTCAAGTGAATTTTAGATTGGAAAATTATCAAATTTTCAATGGTTTTATATGCAATTGGATTTCCAATGGATTTGACTTAGTTTAAGAGGCAAGACGGAGTCAAGCCCAAAAGTTCTGTTCTTAGTGCCCCTTCATGCCTTTTTAAAGAATTCATCTGCAACAAATTAATAACTTAATTTTCGTTGCTTAGTTTTTAACCAATTCCAAGAGAAAGATTAGAAAATTCTTGGGAATTGTTTTGTTTCCAATCAGCGGAAAATTGTTCTTTCTCTAACATAATGAGACTTAGCTTGTTTAATTGGGTTTTGAATTGATCATAAAACTGAGTTAACTTGTACATGTACCTTGACTGGAACAGCAGAGACTGAAACCACCCCAAAAGGAAAGGATTAATGTACACTGATTTTATTTTTTATTCCACCATTTTTGACTTGTTCTGATATATTGGTTTATGGTTTATAAGATACTTGCTAATAATACCTTCAAATCAATTGAAGCTTTCAAATATGATCAGACTTCTTATGAATTCGCAGCCTCAAGTTATAATTTAATATTTTATGTATGAGGACTACCGCGATGAAAGTTATAACAATTGAAAGTAAATCTACAACTCGGTTGTAAGTTATAATTCAAAAGCTTATGATAAATCTTAAAATGTGGTGATCGACTATAAAAAATATAACTTTTGTAAATTAAGATACAACTAATTGAAGTAATTTACGATCAATCACAGCACATGGTTGATTAGAAATTACGTACTGCAATCAAGTGTAACTTCATCTTTAAAATGTTTAATTTTTCGTACAATAAAAAAAATTATTTTTTGATACCGTAATGATATCCATTATATATACATATTAGCAATAATTGTGTCTTAAGTCGCTTTGTAATACCAAAAATCAAGAGTTGATCGTGCAATTTTTATATTTTGAATAAAAATTTATTTTTTAAAGTTTTTTATAATTACACAATTTAAAATTGAAATGACCAGGAAAAAACTAAGAGAGAGGCATGAGGGAGAGATAAGAGAAAAGTATGTGTAAATTAATAGAGTTGTCTAAGAATTAGAGAGCGTGTTTATTGAGTTATTTTGGAACGGGAGCAGAAAGGTTGATCTTTTTGAGTGTAAAAAAAATTAAGATGAATTATGTACCATTTGATCAAGAGCAATTCTATTGTGACCTAATTTATTAACATAATTTGTTGACCTAATTTACTGTGATACTTGGATTGACTGTAGGCCCATCAAACATTAGAATTTGGTATTAATCCAATGATTTCTATGAAGCCACATCATTATATTAACAAATTATGTCAGATTTTTAGCTCCAAATAGCATTATTCTTTGATCAATGTAGCTAAAAAATAGATCAGTCTTGACCGTTGTTATATTTTTATACATTAGAACTTGGTGTTGATCCAATGATTCTTATGAAGCCAAATCATTATGTCAATAAATTAGATTAAATTTTTAGGTCCAAATAACATTATTCTAATGATAGAATGGAATGTGTTTTGATAGGGGTGCAACTTGGGTTGGACAACCCGATTTCAACCCGAAAAAATTAGAGTTTGGGAAAGGGTTTTTAATACTTGAGTTGAACTTGAGTCAAAAAATATCAACCTGAATTCAATTTGGATTGACCCATCGAGTTCACGCGTTGAATCCGAATATTCAAATCGGGCTCAACCATAATTAATAATTGGGTTTAACCTGAATTACTATTATATAAATACAATTTTTGAATGTTATGTTTGTGTTCTGTTAAACTGGTTGTTGGTTGTTAAATTATGTAATATATTTGTGTTATATTTGAAGTTGTTGGTTGTTAAATTATTTGAATATTATGTAATATATGTATTAGGTTTAGAACATTAACTCGAAATCATTCATCCGAATTCAACCCGAGCCCACTCAAATTAAACTCGAACAGTGTTTGGATTGAGTTTATCAATCCGAGGTAGGGTTAGGGTTAGAATTGACTATCCAACCCGCCCGAATTGTGCCCCTATGTTTTGACATTCTCTGACCTCTTCCAAATTCAATTAGTCCCATTAAGTCCTATATTTTTTTTTTACTTTTTTTTTATTTAATTATTTTTTACTTCGGACAAACACCTTTTCTAGAAGAAAATTTATTTTATTTCTTAGCGTCTAAATGAAACAATTAACTTAAGATTAACTCAAAAAAAGATACAGAGATATAGAAAGACTCGGTATAAATTTTTTATTTACACAACTCAACTTAATTCAACTCAACTCAATAAAGTCATAATTCCAACAATTTAGAATCGGATACATAAACTGTGTTTGTCGCTTTCCTACCTCTCTCTTCATTTACTTTAATTTTAAATTATGTAATTAAAAAGATAAAAAAAAAATTATTTAAAAATTAAGTTGAGTGGGCCTGCAAATCAAGCCAGCTTCTTGCTTTCGTAGTGTTCAGGCGAATTTAGTATGGGCTTTTGCCTCTTTTTGCATATAGACTACCGAAGCTGCAGGTAAGAAAAAGAAAGATCTTTCAAATAGGCCTAGTACTAGCTAGGCCTATATATCTCATCAGTGGTGTAATTGAGATTACCCACTTTCGTTGGACTCGAATCATCGATTGTTAAAGTTATTGGATTTTAGTGGATGTAGGGAAAACTCATAAGAATCCACTAACGGGACTCACTGATTAACTAGTGGATGATTGAACTTGAAAAGAAAATAGCCGTTGAATATGGCATGTTTTGACAGTATTTCTTTAATTTGATGATTAAGTAGTCGATGATTAAACTTGAGAAAAATCTTCAAAAGTTTAAATTGAGAGAATCTAGATGATATACTATATTCGAGGGTTAGGTTTCCTCTTTTGTCATGATCTTAGCAAAAATCAGATCCAATCATCATCGATCGATTAAAACTTATTTGATCATACTAGACATTACTGAGACTCGTAAGAATTCATTAATGTAGCTCAAATATCAAATGATGGATATTGAACTTCAAAAACATTGTCAAAATCTTAATTTGAAACCATTTGGGTCATATATTCGAGGACTACGACACCTCAATTAACCACTTTTATTTTATTTTTCTTTCTTCTCTTGGTGGAAATCGATTCCACGTAGGGATGAAAGAGAGTGTGAGCCTCTAGGAGACCGTGGGCCAAGGCCCCAGGTGGTCAATTCAGTAAATTAGAAAAGAAAAAAAAAATAGAAGCATTCTACATTTTACATACCCCCCCCCCCTAAAAAAAACTACAATTATTTCACTTCTAAACCTTCTAGTTGTGTTGTATAATTAAAATGTGGATCAACTTTGCAATGCGACAAGATCAGCATAGTAGTTTTTGATCCATCCTTCAATGATATTCACCTCTACCTGCCTTTGCATCACCAACCATTGTGGATCATCTTTTCTTGCCGGGTGTAAATCTAAGCAATGCGATCCTGAAAAATTTATTATTGTTATACTGGCAATGAATGAGAAAAAAAAAACTATCAATTTATAAATTCACACACACACACACATTAATTTATAAATTACTAGAGGCTACGGTACAGAGTCTCCATGATCACACTACTATATATATATATATATATATATATTGAAAAGAATCAAGCACATACCATAAGCAGTATAAACTGCAAGAACATTGTCTGATATGTCCTCCATCACACTATGATTGAAAAAAGAAAAAACAATGAAGATATGTCAACACGATTATTCAGTGCAATATCCAAAAAAACAAAAATATTTTGAAGTATTTTTTTAATTTAATTAAGAAGTATTTGTTTCAAATAATTCTTACTTTTTGCTTAAAAAGCAAAAGAAAAAGACTATTCAATGACTATCTTCAAAAGAATTATATAAGTAATACACTTGAATAAGGTTAAAAAAAGAGAATGACAATTTTTTGTTCTTTTTTTTTTCTAGTTTGTTTTTTAAAAACTTTTAAACGACAAAAGAATAGCAAATATCTTTTTATTTACCCGCCACTACTATACGGATCTCTGAGGCCGTTAGAGAAAATGATATTGCTACCAAACCTATGGAGAGCCATTTTGATATCCTATATCCAAAAAATTGCGAAGTAATGAAACATAAAAAAAAAGGTCGTAAAAACTTAAGCGCTTGGAAATGTACTTTAATTCATGATTCCATAAACATACATGGCCTCCATAATAGGTTGTGATCCAATGAGGTCGAGGAGTGACGCCATAGTAGCTCTTACAATTACTGATGAAACTCTGTAAATTGAACGGTGATGGTGGGAACATCGTATCATTGATACCACGGCCAATAGGCATCACCATTTCACTGCAAGTCTAAAACATGAACAACTCGATTTCAAGTTAGTGAAATTAGGACAATTCTAAACGTTCTAATGTTCATTACTCAATTTAGTCCCCCATTATCGAGGGTGTTGACAAGAATGGACTTGATGAGAACCTAATCTTACAGCAAGGACATAAATTTTTTTCCTAGGAAATAACAAAAAAAAAAAACTTACGAATAAGAGGACTTTGAAGGAAATGAGATGATGAATTTATGTTACCTGCCAGCTCCACCCTATATTACTTTCACCTGGACCATAGGCTGACTTTGTCCCTATATTAGTCTAAAACAAGAACAACCCGATTTCAAGTTAGTGAAGAAAATAGGACAATTCTAAACATTTCTAACATTATTACTCAGTTTAGTCCCGTCTACTCGCGGATATTGGCAGGAATGAACTTGACACGGACCTAATCTTTCGACGAAACAACTCTTTTTTCCAAAAAATATATCATTAAAATTTGGACTAAGATGACTTTCAAGAGAATAAAAAGGTGAAGATATGTTACCTGCCAATTCCAACCCATATCAGTTTCACTAGAGTAACTGTATTCATCTTTATTATAGCATGACCTATCCCCTATATAAGCATGAATCCCTGCAAATATCTGGCCAAGTATATCAGTTCTTCCAGCTGCTCCATCAATGCCACCACAGATCATCGTTACCGGATATTCTGGTGGATGATTATATTGAGCTGCTTCAGTGTATATTGAATCTAAATAGTTCTTGAGCGCTGAAGAATGTTTTATGAGACTGAAGTACACAACACAATTCAAACTAAGTTAGAGAGAAATTAAAAAAGACGGTACAGCACATGAGACTTTCGTTACTGTGGGATATGATCGGTAAAATAAAGTTCAAAAAGTGTACAGCAAAAATTGCCTACTTGCCTGCAAGTCCTGAATGTTTGGCTGAGGATTAAAAGGCCATTGGGAAGAGATGCGACTCTATCAATTTCAGACCATGATTTTCGTATTGTTTCGTAACAACTCTCACTGGCTTCCTGCAATCTCATATATATCGTGGCCATTAGTTTTCTTGATAGGTTTAGAGTTCAAAATGAAAAACATTATCAAATGTTAGATGTTTTATTACTCGGAAATCCTTGGTAATAACTGTGTAATATCCATCTTGTGGAGTGATATTATCAAAGTAAAGAATAGGAGCCGACGAGGCGAGAGCACCAAGAGCAATGTGGGGGTACTTTAGCCGAAAACATGAAGCCAGCACTGCAAAAATTTGAACAGAAAAGATTTACAACTACTGTTTGAGAATTGAGAAAAAATGAAGCTGTCAAATAAGTATTATTTCATGTGTCTTACTTCCTCCATAGGATCCTCCAACAACGATTACCGGAGAATTATGTGCCGATAATTTCTGTTTAACATATAATATCACCTCTGCATAATCTGCGATAGCTTGAGCCGAGTTGAAATAGCCGCGAGTGTTACTATTTTCCATGGCTTCTTCCATTGTACCAAATGGTATCGATTTTCCATAGTATCGATGCTGATGAGAAAAAACGACTCTACTTATAAGTAAGATTCGGCTTAATTAACAAAATACAAACTACAAAAAATTCAATGGCTTCTCATAGTTACCAAAGACTCTTCCCACTAATACTAAACTCGGGAGCCTTAGAGCATGTGCTGAACTATGTTGTATATCCAGTTTTTCAATCAATGAAATCGAAAAAAGAAAAAAAAAAACAAAGACAGTCACCTCTATGTAAACCAAGAGAGCTTGGAAATGGGCAGCGTTATCATTGAAAAATACCGCCTATATCATAATCCAATGGTGCTTCTGCCCCGAGGTACACGAAGATTGGCGCGTTCGAACTTGCACCACCCCAGTACTTATAATTGATCACGTACCATTGTTGAAAGGTGGCATAGCTCTGAGGCCTGTAGTTGAAGTGATCAACAACCTGAGTGTAGTAATGCGTTTCGAATTCATTTGAATCATATGCAAATCGGTTATCGTGGTCTCGTAGGATTGATTTTCGGAACACACTCAACCTAGCTGGTGCTGCATAAACTGTAGTTGATGATATTGAGAAAAGCAAAGGAAGAAGCCATATGAATAGAACTCTACACATATTCATGGCAGCTTAATTCAATAGTATACCTTAGGCATCTAAGGGTTGTCCGTAGTTATATGTACAGACCAACTTATCCAAGACTTCTATGAAATTTCAATTAGGAATTTGTTACTTAGTGATAGGAGGGTGGTTAGAGTTTGAAAGTATGATCAGATTTTGAAAATCCCTATGAGTCCGGTCAAAGCAATATTAGGCCGGCCCAAACGCCAGTAAAATATCGGGTTTAAGCCCTAATAAAAAAATGGATTTAAGAGTAATACGTGTTCGATAAAACTGAAAACTGAATTCTAAAAATTAAATGCAGAATTTTAAGTGTTGAGTGCTGAATTTTTAATTTGTAAACTGTTTGGTATCTACTGAAAATTAAATATTAAATTAAATCAAACTGTTTGATAAGTACATAAAGTTGAAGTCTAAAAATAAATAATTTTCCAATTTTAGCCTTCCTCTCTTTACTTTGAAATTATTTGTTCAACATGCATTTAGCTAATTGGAAACCATGACCCAACAAAAATAATTCATAGGATAGATTATAATACTATTATCTCATTGTAGTCTAATTTTAACAAACATGATAATAAATTAATTCAAATTAAATGCATTAATTAAAACTATCATTTGTCAATAATTCTAAAAATTATAAATTATATACAAATCAGGAGTTTAATTACCTATCGCTATCTCTACAAAAAGACCCATGAAAACTTCAAAATCATGACATACTATACCCATGGCTACCTCTACAAACAGAACCCATTAATTTCCATATCATCACCCACTGTCCAATCTATGATTGGGATTAGTTACATGTATGGAGGATTGAAGATGATGAACTCGATGAGTGAGACAAAGAGAGATGAAATGAAAAATAAAAAAAAACTACTTTTTAAGAACAGAAGTTACAAGAAGAAAGGGTCGTCGAACTAGGGGAACCAGATGGTGTTGCAGCAAGTTTGGTGGAGGCAAATCATGTTCATCTACAGAAGATATCATAGAATATTTTGGGGCAAATTTGTCCTCAAGATAAAGATTTTAAAATCCCAATCACTGAGCGTGTTCAGTGATAAGCAATAAGTAGGTTCCAGTTAACTTAAAATTTTCAATTATAAGTACTTAATTGAGTTATCAAACCTATAAATTAAATCTAATAATAAGCACAATTAAAATTCCAGTCAACAAAAAAAAACTTATTTAAATGATTTGGGCTCAAAAATCCAGCCCCATGACACAAAATTAAATTTGGAAAAAAAATAAAATGACAGAAAATGTGTAAAAAAAAATATTATACAAGTAGGTATCACTAGTCATTTTCTCTCTCTCTCTCTCTCACACACACACTTGTTCTTCCTCTAACTATGATTTTGTCCTTATGTAAAATTAAAATATCAATCAAAATATTTATTTTTATCATCTCCTTCCAATCACACTCTCTTTTTTGTCTGTTATAAATGCAATATATTTCTAAATCACCAGAAGACGCAAGACATTAATTCATTGATTCTCTCTATTTTATTTTCTAATAGGCAATGTTATGTGAGAATCCATGTACCATATCTCAATTTTGTTGGCCACAACAACAAATTAACTTTTATATTTTTAAATTTTTTTGCTCATATTATTTTTTAGTATTTGGTTGATTTGTAAATATGATAATTACAAAAAAAACATTTGCATAGGAAAAAATTTGAAGAAAGATAACATTTTTAAAACTATTTGAATTTTAAAAAAAAATCTTAATATATTTGTCATTAGCAACAAAAACAATATAACAAAAAAAATTAGGTTAAAATTAAGTAAATGAACAAAAGAATTTTTTATAAAATTAGAAATATTTGGCAGATTAGTTGTAATCAATGGAAAAGATATATGTATAAAACAGAAGTGTAAAACTTGATTAATAATCACCATCTCAAAAAGTTTAAGCTACTTTATTTAAAGTCGTTGTTATAGACCTCAAAGTGTATCAAGTTCCGCTAATACTGCTTGAGAGATTTTGAGAAATGCAGGCCAAACAAGAGAAAAGATAAGAGAGACAAACATATGTACAGATATACTTGCTAAAAAGAGTGTATTTAGCCATTTTAATCTATGTATAATTGCAATACTTGTGGATAGTATACTATTGAACCATCACACTTTGATAACATGGGTATGAGATAGCCCGTATGTAATATTTAATACATATTAAATGTCTAAATTACCAACAACCACAAAAAAAAAAAAAAATTATGTGGCATCACCTTATGACTTTGAATATCTGAGTTATGTCATCACCTTGTAACAATCCACACGACATTTTTGACTAATTGAAATAAAATACATAAAATATGGATTAAGACAAAAAAATATCTCTAATCCTTGCATTGTCATCTTGTGATTAATTTTGTATCGTCTAATCGATTTAGATAAACGAAGACTTAGCAATGAAGGACGCGCAGACACTTCAATCCTTTGAATAGAAGGAGGTACATGGCCGACCCTAGGGCCAAACTGCTAAAATATTTTCTTAGAGCTTCCAAATTTTAGGGTTCCAATTTAATTTTCAACCCTTAATTCAGCTATATGGTCTGACTCCCTTTTGAATGGATCAAGTTTGGAGGTTCAATGCATTTCACAAATATATGTAAAGTCTTCTAAAAACATCTAAATATAACATAACCTTCTAAAAAAATCTAAAAAATTATAATTTCTAGTTTTAAAAGTAGCAATTTCTCTCAAATTTATTTCATTCTCTTTCCTTCGGCTCTCATGGTCCCTCTCCAAGTCTTTGTCTCCCTTACAATTTTTTTTTTTTTGTCAATCTCCAAGCTCTCCTTGTCTTGTTTTTTTGGCTCTTTGTACTTATTTCTACCCTCTCAGTCTCTTAGGGCTAGTTTGTTTTGGGGATAAGAATGGTATAAAAAGGTGGGATTAGAAAAATAGTATGCGAGACTCACCTTATATCTTGTTTATTTAGTATTTTACAGTCAGTTCTATTTTTCGGGTCGTAATACCAACCCGGTTTGAACAGTACCCTTAGGGCTTGTTTGTTTGCAGGATATGGATGGAATAAAGGGGTGGAATTAGGGAAATAGTACGGAGGGTCCACCTTATACGTTGTTAGTATTATTTTTTAGTTCGTAGTATCGACCTAGTGTAAATAGTGACTTAAATGCCTTCTATATGATACTATTGAATGCCACCTACTAGGTGGTATTATCTTTTCGGTACAAATGAAAGAACGGTTTAAGAGAGTAAAATGACACAAATGCCCTCCTCTATTAAGAGTTTATATATAAAAAATTTAATTTGAATTTTTTTCTTTGTATTATCTTTAAGCGTACGGTGTCACCGGTTTTTTTCTTAAATTTTTTTAAAAAAAATTATTTTGAATTTTTTCCTTATATTATGTTTAAGCGTACAGTGTCACCGAATTTTTTTTAAAAAAATTATTTTGAATTTTTTTCCTTATATTTAAGCGTACGGTGTCACCAAATTTTTTTTTTATTTTTTTTAAAAAAATATTTTGAATTTTTTCCTTCTATTATGTTTAAGCGTAGGTTATCACCGATTTTTTTTAAAAATTTTTTAAAAAAATATTTTGAATTTTTTCTTTATATTATGTTTAAGCGTTCGGTGTTAACGATTTTTTTAAAAATATTTTTTTTAAAAATTATTTTGAATTTTTTCCTTGTATTATGTTTAAGCGTACGGTATTGACCGATTTTTTAAAAAAAATTATTTTGAATTTTTTTTTTGTATTATGTTTAAGCGTATGGTATCACCGATTTTTTTTTTTAATTTTTTTTTACGGTATCATCGATTCATAACATTAGATTATTTATTATACCAAACGTTGTGCAAAAATGTTACACAGATAGAGTAATGGAATGGGAGATGTTAAGGATAAAATGTTATATTTGTTATATAAGATGTGATAGAATAAATGGTTATTTATGGAACCCATCATAGTACTTATTGAACAAACAAACAAGGGGAAGAATGGGATAAAAGTTTGAGACCGAGTATAGTATACCATTGGATAGAAGTGGAATGAAAATAATTTTTAATACCACCCAAATCTAATACTGCAAACAAACAGGCCCTTAATGCCTTGTACATGGTATTAATGAATACCACCCACCAAGTAATATTATTTTCATGGGTTAAATGAAAGGACAGTACAAACATACAAATTAATACAAATACCCTCATTTGTTAAGAGTTTACATATAAAAAAATTATTTTGAATTTTTTTCTTATATTATGTTTAAGCATATGGTGTTATCGATTTTTTTTTAATTTAAAAAAAAAATTATTTTGAATTTTTTTTCTTGTATTATGTTTAAGAGTACGGTATTACCAGTTTTTTTTTAATTTTTTTTTAAAAATTATTTTGAATTTTTTTCTTCTATTATGTTTAAGCGTACGATGTTACCGGTTTTTTTTTTTTTGATTTTTTTTTTATTATTTTTAATTTTTTTCTTGTATAGATAGTTAAGGGTAAAATGGAATGGATGATGTTAGGGTAAAATGGTATATTTGTTATATAAGTTGTGATAAAATAGATAATTGTTTATGAAACTCACCATAGTACCTATTAAATAAACAAACATGAGAGGGGATTGAAATAATTTTTATTACCGGTACTAATATCCCCTAGTATTAGAAATATAAGGAATACATTTTTAATACCACCCATAAATAATACCCGAAACAAACATGCCCTTAGTCTCTTTTTAAAACTCTAATTAATTTATTCATCTATACAATTGTAGAATTGATTTTCGGAACTCACTCAGTCTAACTGATGCTGCATAAACTTGATGATATTGAGAAAAGCAAATGAATAAGCCATATGAATAAAACTCTGGACATATTCATGGCAGCTTAATTCAATAGTATAGCTTAGGCATCCAAAGATTGTCTTAGTATGTACTTATATAAACCAATTTATCAGGTGACAACGCCATTATAATGGGTGATGGGGTCTCAGAAATCACAACTCAAGCCCAACGCGTGAGAGGTTATTGGGTCTGATGTTAGAGTGGGTTTAGTAGATTGGGTTATCTAATCAAACAGAAAATAAATAAGATAAGTGGTTCGTCTCAATCGATAGACCAAGAGTACATCCACTACAATGGAGTCTCTTGCTCCTTTGTTTTGTGTATTAAAATTCCGAGGTGTACAGCCGGGATTCAAGCGTTGGGCCCTTACAGAGGTTGGTGTTTTGCTTATAGGATGCTCACGGTTGTTTGTTTTTTTGGTTCTCTCAATCCTTTTCCCCTTATAGGACATTGTTCTATATATATGGGACACCCTTTTGTGGTTTCTGGTGGTCTCTTCTACTTTTTACCGATCTTGTGGGGACCTCCTGTCCTTGCCCTGCAAAAACCTTTTTCAGTCGGCGTCACTGCGCCCACGATCTCTAGGGCGTTATGCTCCATTACCTTGTGGGAGGATGTAGTTATCACAGGTTTCAGAGATGGTCCCCTTGTCCTCTGGACGCGTGGCACAGCAGGATGGCTCTGAGGCAAAGATCCAATTCCTTCTCTTCGGATTGTCCTTCAGCTAGCACCTGATCGGGCCTGGACTGGACCACTGCCCCTCGGGTGCCCATTGGGCCTTGCCTTTTCAGCTCTTTGTCATGGGTTAATCAATGACGCTTTATTTTGGGCCAACGGACTTTCCTCCAGTTCCTGATGGCCTTTTGGGCTTCAGGCTTGTCGGTAGCCCATGCTCAGAATTTTATCCTTATCAGTTGCCCCCCAACCCTTGGTCACGAGGATGACGTCATCTCTGACCTGAGGTTAAAGATGTCATTTATAAATTCCACATTATTCCTACGTGGCAGGAAAGTCCAGCAGTTGGTTTTGATACGATTTGGGCTACGCTGGTATCTGTCAGTTATAATGGCTCGCATACATGTCACCAGCGGGCGAGCCGAACGGTGGTGCAAGTTCTTTGGCGTGTCCTGTCGCCTGTTTGTCGCAACTTTAGATGTTGTGTATAAGAGGGGGAATACTTCTTGCCTTCCCACTTTACATTCCTCTCCTTTTTGAAAAACTCTCTTCTCGTCTCCTCCCCTTCCCTTCGACATCTAAGGCGTCTTGTTCCTAGTTTCTTGGCGACTTAGGATTTCCATGCTCCTAGTTCTTTCCTGCCTCTAGCGTACTACTAGGTACGTCCTTCTCCCCTTCTTTTCTTTTCTGTTCGATCTAGATCCTCTTAACCCTCCCTGGTGAGGTTTTGGATTTCGTTTCCTGATTTGGAGATTCAGTTACTTTAGAAGTCGCTCCAACGACTTCTCTTTTCTTCCGCGATTTGTGGATTCCTCGTCCTTAGTTAGGATATCCTTTCCTAGGGATTGGTGCCTAAGACTTTTGTTCTTGACGGACTGTGCCTTATATTTATCTTCTCTGCACTCTAGCTTGTCAGTTGAAGCTATGATGGAGAGATTTGTTGTTACTTCTTCTGAGTCAGGTTTAGAAGATCTAGCTAGCGAGGAGGTCGAGGAAAGCACCTCAAGTTCCCTCGAAGATCGCTCTTTTTCTGGAGAGGCAACCTCTAAGTCTGCCCTTGGGGTTTCCTCTTCGGCCTCCCCCGTTGAGGACCGTCTTCCTTCTTCTTTCGCCCCCACCACCTATACCCAGTCGAGGGAGGAGAGGCCTAAAACGGTACCACCCTCCATTTTTAGGGGAAAAACCTATCGAGATCAATCCGACCTGACCTATTGTGCCGAGAAGACCTCTAGTTGCCTAGATGATGACTATTTAAAAGAACTACAGCAGGAGTATCGTTTTCCCGACTTCATGGAACTGCATTCGCCTAGAAAACACGAAAGGTGCAACTCTTCTCTTCCCGGGCTGACTTGTTTCTTTGAGTCAGCGTTCCGGCGCTTCTCAACCTTCACATATATGTATGGTATCGTATAAATATAATTGTAGATTTTTTTAACTCACTTCATATTTTTATAAACATAATTGTAAGTATTTTTTTATTCTAGGTATAAGGTTTTAGTCACCTATCTACATCAGCATATGGTCATTCGATGTCTTCTCAAGCTTCAAATAGTATGCAAAGTGTTATGGTATGTTACCTTATTGTTAATTTTATTATTTCACATATGTATCAAGTTTCTTTGTTTGACTCCTTCTTATTAATGTAGGGTACTCCGACTAATTCAACATATGTGCATTCTTTAAATGATGTTGAATCATTTTTCATGAATGGGGGATACAACTTGTGAGAATGCTTGAAGGATCAGCAGTTATAAGGATGCATATGGAGGCTACTAGTTGCTTGTTGGATCATTTAATGAACCATTTATTTTAGTTGGATCATTATGTTGAAAACTATTTATTTTTAATGAGACTGATAGCAGTTGTAAGGATACTTGTTGTATTTTTAATGAATGTGATCTTTTTTTAACGAATGTGATCTTTTTTTTATGAATGTGATCTTTTTAATGAATGTGATTTTTTTTTATGCATGTGATCTTTTTTTATGAATATGATATTCCAAGTCACAACAATATACAAAACCCACAATTTCATTCAATTTAAACGCACAAGTTTCATCACTACATCATTGCTCTTACAGCTCTACTTCACTAGAATCACATATATAATAATCACCACTAGTAATGTGACTACAAACATATTTGACTTCATTGAACCTTCTTTAGCCTTAACACGTTGAACTAAATTACAAAATTCTTCAATCTGCAACTTCAATGTCATTACATTGTGTTCAATTCATCGTGCATTGTCTTCAATTTATTGTACATTCATCCTTTCATTTGTAATTTCCGAAGAGGGGAGAGGAATAGGAGTCATCCACTTAAAAAAGTGATTGGAATTATCTGGACATTTGCTGTATAACTTCCTAGGACTTTTTTCAGATTCGAAAACTTTGATAATCGCTCTTTTGCTACAAGTAGGCAATGCATATTGCGATAACTTAACTCTTCGTTGTTTGTTGTCATGCTTAAAGATGTCATTCTTGAACCAAGTAGAATTGCTTGAACCAGCTATCAGGTTATGGATGAAAGTTGTTGGACATACACAGAATATTGTAAATCAATTGCAGTATTTCAACAAATACAACAGCAAATCAACTTTTGGCATTTTGATGTTTGGAGCATAAAAAGGAAGATAAAATAGTAACTTGTACAAGCAGGAGATCAAGCCTGCCTGATCAAGCCTGATCATATTATTTACAGATACCATATCGTAGTTCATATAGTAGTTCATTGAAGTGAATGATCAAACCTGATCAAACATGAAGCATATAAACATTCAAAGTGCAACAAGCCAGAATGAATGGACATTATACAAAATATTTGTACAGCATAATTAGATCATGATGCTTTGACTGATTCATTGCCTAACATCTTCAAACTCAATTAAAAATTCGAATGGCGCCAAACAGACCATATAAACCATCCTGACATATAGTTTGAGATTCTCTTGGATCATATGATTCATAGGCCATATAAAACAGTAAACTGTACACAAAAAAAAAACAGAAAATCCGTTACTAATTCGGTCATCAAAAATCCTGTACAGCAACTGTGTTCTAATCCTACACCTTAGCTCTTGCCTGGAACCTGATTCAGAAATTCTAGGCCAATACATAACAGCAAACCTGCTCCTCAGACGAAACTCAATTTGCCATCACTATTCCAGCTTACCAGCAACTCTGGGAAACTTCTACTCAGTCCAGAGCAGAATAATTCATACTCCAGCACAGTGCAGTACTACAGAGATAAATGCAGTGCAATGCAAAACAGAATATTAGTCCAATGCAGACATGAAAGTATCATCCAATCCACAGCAGACAGATCCAGCTCAGCACCTTCTTTCTATACACAACATCCTTGAGTTGAATCTAATGCAAAGAGTGCAGAAAATCAGTTACTCACTCCAACACCTCTGTTTTACCAAGAGCTAGCTTTAATCCTTCAAAAGGATGCAAACCATATAACTTTTCCACATTCCAACTACCCAGTCATCAACATAAGCCCATGTCTAAAATCAACAAACCAGTATCAGTCCAGCACCCTCTAAACTTCATTTCATCACAGTATCCTCAACACTACATAGACAAAACAGACTGCCAAACAGTCACTCCTCATTCTGTCAAAACAACCTCCTCCTTACAGAACTGATCCAGTGTTTCATACCATCCCAGTTTTTACAATTTAGCAACACAAACCAACATGACCACTACATACACTATGATCCTATCCAAGATCTACAACCACCTGACCACCACCATGATTGTAAGGGATGAAACCCTCCACTCAGGATTTCGGCTTGACCTCCGCGCGTTCGGGAGTAGCCTTTACCCCTCTTCCTGAGCCAGAGCCCTGGCCTAGCCTAATGTGGGGAGGGCGCACCGTATCCCACATCGGAAGAGAGTCGTCTTCCCCCCTCGCATATAAGCCCTTGCACTCAAAGGAGGAGGTACCCACTAGTACCTGATCAGGTGCCTAGTGGGTACCTCCTCCTTTGAGTGCAAGGGCTTATATGCGAGGGGGGAAGACGACTCTCTTCCGATGTGGGATACGGTGCGCCCTCCCCACATTAGGCTAGGCCAGGGCTCCGGCTCAGGAAGAGGGGTAAAGGCTACTCCCGAACGCGCGGAGGTCAAGCCGAAATCCTGAGTGGAGGGTTTCATCCCTTACAATGATACTTTCCACATTCACATTCATTGCCTTTTTTCTTTAGGTGCCTATCATCAACAATTAAGCTTACCAAATCTTTTTTGACATTTTCTCAAACAGGTGGAGGACGGGGAGGTGTGTGTGTGTGTGTGTGTGTGTGTGAGTTGCTTGAAGGAGAAAGAGGGAGACAGAGATAAATGAGAAAGGGAGGGGAAAATGAGAGAGAGAGAGATGAGATAACAACTAACTTGTGTTCTCCAACTATAATGTGAAGAGTGTAAAATTTATCACCAGTTTTCTTCGTGAAAGCATCTCTAATTTCAACATCAAATGCTCATAGAAGTAAATTTGAGTTGTGAGGCAATATATATGGCAATTGTTAACAGAGAGAGAACATACGTTGCCTGTAGTCGGAGTTGCCTGAAGTCGAAGCTGCCTGAGGTCGTAGAAGTTGCCTGAAGTCGCCCAGATCTGCTGCACCTCGCAAGGCTTTGCTGTTGAAGTCTAACGAAGAAAAGGGTGACTGCAGATCTGGAATTTCAAGGACCAAAACGACGTCGTTTTGGTAAGGATCAATAAAAAGAAAAAATTTAAAAACAAGTGAAACACCGTCGTTCCACTTGAGCCCATGTCATGCGATTTCCTTCTTACCGTAGAGGACCCGCTCCTGAGATCAATGGCTGAGATAACAGGCAAAGTAGAATAAATAACAAACGGCTAAGATTTAACAGTTGACAACATATCTTTGTAGCCAAAGCTACAAGAGCAACCTGAACCACAACACAAAATTGAAGCATCAATTCCCAAAATGCACGTCAAATAGATCATATACTTCACAGAATATATATAGAATTACATCATAGACAATAGTCAAACTTCATAACATCACATGACGAAAACCTCCATCTGGGACTTATTATCCTGATCAACAACTTCCAGGAACAACGGATCAACGGTCACGCGACTATCCACGTGGACCCTAAACTTATGGTTCCACCACCACACCTTAGCCACACCCTCGATCTCCGCCGCCGCGTCGAGCACCATCTCTCTCGCCGCCACATCCGCCAGAAACTTCGTCGCGTGATGAGCCAGCTCAACACCGCTGAGCCTAGTCGGAAGGTGGAGGAGCTGGCAAGACCGAGGGGCCTGCGAGCCGGCTTTGACTTTAGCCGAGCCGAGAAGAGATCCTTCGTAGAAGATGGACAACTCGGCGGAGTAGTCGACGGGGGCGATGTTGGGGTTGGTGACGTGGATGGTGAGGATCAGTTCGGCGTCGAGGAGTGGGAAGTTGAGTTTGAGAGAGCTGAGGTTGACTGAGATTAGGTGGAACGTTGGGTCTCGAGGCCTAGATGAGAGTATCGCCGTCGTGGCGGTGGCTGTGGCTGCGCCGATCAGGGCGGAGGTCAAGCTCCATTTTACCTTTTCGCCCATGAATTGTGAGAGAAATTACAGCTTTCCTTTCGGTTTGTGAACATAGAAGAGAATGAGAACATAGTGGACTGGACTTGGGTGTCTTGACAACGATGATGATCGAAATGACGTTATTGTCCGCACTGTTGTGTGTTTGGTGTTACTTATTGGAGGTTATTATTGGTAATTAACTTTGCTTGGGCATAAGTAGTAGTTGTTGATGATATTGAAAAAAGCAAAGGAAGAAGCCATATGAATAAAACTCTACACATATTCATGGCAGCTTAATTCAATAGTATTACATAGACCAACTTATCCAAGACTTCTTAAGAAATTTTCAAAGGAATTTGATATAAGTTTGAGTCAAAAGTTAAAATAATTTTTTGAAAAAAATTTATTTAAATTTAAGTTTGAGTTAGGGTTGAAAATACATTTAATTAGCGAAAGGAGTGTGGTTTGAGTTCCAAAGTATGATCAAACTTTGAAAATCACTGTACTCCGGTCAAAGCAATTTAGGCCAACCCAAACGCCTCTATAATATGGAGTTTAAGCCCAACCAAACCATAGATTTAAGAGTAGAGTAAGAATAGTGGGACTTACTTTGTTAATCTAATTCATCCTGACCTTTGATTAAAATTTAATGTTGATCTAATGATTTTAATAAAATTACATCATTATGTCAAATTTTTAGTTGTAAGTAGCATTACTCTAGATTTAAACCTATAAATTAAATCTAATAATAAGCACAATTAAAATTTCAATCAACAAAAAAAACTTATTTAAATGATTTGGGCTCAAAAATCTAGCCCCATGACACACAATTAAATTTGGTAAAAAAATAAAATGACTGAAAATGTGTAAAAAATATTATTCAAGGAGGTATCACTAGTCATTTCTCTCTCTCACACACACTCATGTTCTTCCTCTAACTGTGATTTTATCATTATGTAAAATTAAAATATCAATCAAAATATTTATTTTTATCATCTCCTTCCAATCGCACTCTCTTTTTTGTTTGTTACGAATGTAGTATTTTTTTAAATCACCAAAAGACACAAGATATTAATTCATTGATTCTCTCTATTTTATTTTCTAATAGGCAATGATATGCGAGAATCCATGTATCATATCTCAATTTTGTGGGCCACAACAACAAATTAACTTTTATATTTTTAAATTTTTTTGCTCATATTATTTTTTAGTATTTGGTTGATTTGTAAATATGATAATTAGAAAACAAACATTTGCATAGGAAAAAATTTGAAGAAAGAGAACATTTTTAAAACTATTTGAATTTTAAAAAAAAATCTTAATCTATTTGTCATTAGTAACAAAAATAATATAACCAAAAAAATTAGGTTAAAATTAAGTAAATGAACAAAAGAATTTTTTATAAAATTAGAATATTAGGTGGATTAGTTGTGATCAATTGAAAAGATATATATATAAAACTGAAGTGTAAAACTTGATTAATAATCACCATCTCAAAAAGTTTAAGCTATTTTATTTAAAGTATTTGTTACAGACCTCAAAGTGTATCCAGTTCCCCTAATAGGTTGTTTGAGAGATTTCGAGAAGTGCAGGTCAAACAAGAAAAGAGATAAGAGAGACAAACATATGTACAGATATGCTCGCTAAAAAGAGTGTACTTAGCCATTGTAATCTATGTATAATTACAATTCTTATGGATAGTATACTATTGAACCACCACATGCAGATAACATGTAGCCAGTATGTAATATTTAATATATATTAAATGTCTAAATTTCCAGCAACAAAAAAAATAAAAAACTATGTTGCATCACCGTATGACATCGAACTTTTGAGTTATGTCATCACCTTGTAACAATCCACACATCATTTTTGACAAATTGAAATAAAATACATAAAATATGGATTAAGACAAATAATATCTCTAATCCTTACATGTTATCTTGTAATTAATTTTGTCTCGTCTAATTGATTTCATGAACGAAGACTTAATAATGAGGGACACTCAAACATTTCGATCTTTTGAATAGAAGGACGTGCATGATCGACTTTGGGCCAAACTATTAAAATAATCGCTTAGAGCCTCAAAATTTTAGGACCTTAATTAAATTTTCAACCCTTAATTCAGCTCTATGGTCTGGCACCCCCTTTGAATGGATCAAGTTTAGAGGCAAATTTATGTAAAATCTTCTAGAAATGTTTAAAATATAACAAAACCTTCTAAAAAAACCTAAAAAACTATGATTGCTTCAATTTGTTCAAAAACTTGGTAATATGTGTACGTTTTCTATTCAAACCACAACAGACGATTGCATTTTATGCAATGTGAAATCAATTCAAGTAATTAACAAAATAATATGTTGAAGTTAATGGTTTTGAGAGTGAAGAGACATCAGTACTAATTGAGGGGTCAGACTATATTTTACCCAATTTGACGAAGTTGGTAAATTAGCTGATGAAAATGAGTTGGAAAATTTTCAAGACTTCTGGTGGGAGGGAAGGTGTGAGAAACGAGTGGTGTGGCCAGGCTCGGTTGAGTTTACTTCTCATCATAGCAATGGTATGGACCCTTTGCTCTTAATATCTCTAGGGGATCTAATTAGATGATGGGATATAAATTTAGGGTTAAAAAATAAAACACACCTTGCAGACTTGCCCAAAAAAATCATTGTTGCACACCACTTCTCTTTTTTTATTTTTTTTCGGTTCAACGACCAAATGTATCTAGGTTAACTTATATACATCTCAACTAATCCCCTCTTCAGTCCGATTAAAAACAAACCATTCCCGCAAAGACTAAGATAAATTTCTCATGATATATGCTCCCAAATTCATGACCCGTCTCTATTACCACTTAAACTACTTCTTGCACACCACTTCAAATAAAACGATGATACAACATAGTACATGACCCAACAAAAAAATTGTATACGACCCAATAACATAATACACATTATTCAAACTCAGAACGTTTAAATTTACAATTCGTCTCTATTATCACTTGAACTACCTCTTGCACACTACTTCGAATAACACAATGATACAACATAGTACATGACCTAACAAAAAAACTGTATACCACTCAATAACAGAATACACACACACAGAGACTACTGAAAATCTTAAAAGAACAAGATGTAACATTAATTAGCTGCTAGGATAAAATTCCTCGTGGCACACAGCACAAGCCAGTTTCAAGTAATGGCAGTAAGCCCTTCCTTACCGTGCAACCACTCCTTTCACATTTCAAAGAAAAACTGCAAAATCAATTCTCTCAACCTCGTGAATCTACAATAACTACACTCGTTGACATGGAAAAGGACCCTAAAAGGCCATTAAATAGCCGGGGGGGTAATAAGACCAACAATAATGCACAAAAAATACAAGGAACATTGCCCATAGAAACCCAACAAAAATTCCTAAAAATAGAACCCACCGATATTATACACACAACACAAGCAAAATATACTGCACACGCGCATACGCAACGTGCTCAACCTGCAGCTGTAGTACACAAGATACAACGCATCCGAAGAGCACCCGAAGGGGTATCGTCGCCATCGTCATCGTCATCATCATCATCGACATCACCATTACCATAATCATACGATACCGCATCATGTAGAGTGGCTTTTGACCCTTTGTTGCCATTAAGAGAATTGGTGGAATCCGTTAGACACGATGTGTGATAGGCATGACAACAGAAGAATACAATGACCGACACATTCCGTATAGAAAAGGGATCAAAACACATGCAACACCGCCCGCCTCCCCTCGTTTTTGACTTAACCTCCATGGTCTTCATGCTCAGAGCTCTCTCTGTAGACTGAGAAGCCCTATTTTCATACCTTTTGGCACGTGCTTCATCTTCTTCATTGCTTAAGTAAATAGCCCGTCTTGCTTCCTTATGGTATTTTATTAAAAGGTTAACACAATCAGCCTGCAATTACCAGTTAGATGAAAATGTCAAGCCTTTATAGCCAATCTATTGTAAGATGGAAATAAAGCAAGAAGGGATGAGCATGCAAACATAGTATGGGAAGCAGGAGGGTACCTTGAGTATATCGTTACACCCATGTCTAAGAGAAGTTTCAGTCCGGTAGTCTGTGATGATTTTGACTAGACGATCCCTCAGCCTGAAAGACACAATGTTTTAGAAAACAAAAAAATTCAGTCCATTATTTTTGTAATTAAACAAACCTAATGGCTAAAAACATCGAGTATTATCTGGGTGGCTAGATAGAATGCACTTCAACAATAACTACCGTCACTCAAACCACATGAGGAGCAAAGAAGTGTTTTGTGCATGAGGCATTAGTGTTACACCCCAGGAGAAGAAATTTGCCACAGAGAATTAGTTCAGTTCAGGCCAAAACCATGATCTATAAATTAGATGTTCCACATTTCAGTAAGATATTCTAATTGTCTCTTTTTTAGATTAATTGAGGCCCACCATCTGATTGCCCTAAATGAATTATTGATAAGTACCATTTACTAAGGTAACCTTGAAACCTACACATTACTCAGTAGGAAAATGTCAATTATAGTTCGGGGTAAAAAAAGAAACACTTTGCTGTCAGAGAATCTTCATGGTGTCAAATAAACAACCAGAGTATAAAAATTAACATAATAATGTTAGCAGTAGACAATTGGTCCGCATAATATGGTAATGCCCATCGGGAGATTCTTCATGTTGTCAAATAAAGATAGCATAAGACTAAACACCCAGGAAATACTTCTAGATGTCATGTCCATGTAATATGGAAATCTGAACTCTTGACGTCACAATACGCGCAGATCATCACATCAATAAAAGCACTTAAACCTTCGTGACTAGCCCTAACGGTAACAATAATGATTGACAAAGCATCAGATTAGCCATTGACCAAGTGGGAGCTAAGTATACAAACCTTTCACCACTCACTTTAAAACTTTACCAGCATGCACTTTATAGCGCAGCATGTAAGCTGTAATCATAAAGTTCCTACCAAATTTAAGGCAACAACACTGCGAGGCAAGATAGGGCAAAATTGTGGAAGTTAATTAGCAGTTGCATTCCGGAAAACAACAAATGAAACCACAAATTGAAGTTTTTGAAACTCCAAATCTTGAATGTATCAAACTACTAATCAAGCCAAAATTCTATAATATGCGAGGAGAATTACACATAACTATAACTGCTTGCAAGCTCAAGTTCACATAAAAGAAGGAACATGACGACACAGCAACCACTAGAAAAACACTAATAATACTCCCATCTTACTAACCGAGGTATCTCCAGGCCATTGGGCACCATATTCACGATATAGAGAGGATCAAGATTGCCAACAGTATGCTCCAAGAGCACACCTACCTGCCAATTAGGGAAAACAAGTGTAACGACTTGCAAAAAGAATGTTTTGATATGTAATGATGATGTTCTGAAGTGCATATATCAAGAAAATGAATCTATAGAACACCATTTCAGGTTTGTGAAGGCATTGATTAATCAGTTCCTCCCATAGCTCATCATCCTGCTGCATACTCACGAATTCTATAGCCTGCGCAAAGTCATAAGCTCATCACACCATTGTGAAACTTTAGAATTAAGCAGAGTACACACAAGAAATCATAAATAAGGTGAAGGTACCTCTTTAATATCCCCTAATTTATTTATGATCACTGCAAGGGCTTCTTTTGAATTTCCCATTCGACCAAGGATAAAAACTTGCTCTCTTAGTAGATCTCTTTTGACACAGACTTCGTAGGCCTGCGGTTAAATTCAAGATAAACAATGTCAACAAGAGGAACATATCATGGAAGACTATAATTTATCACTCTTTTAACTTCGCAAACCTTCTCAAGAGTATAATGCTGACTACTCCGAAGAAAAGGAAGCAACGTCTTCTGATCATAGTCCGCATAGAGTTCTACCTATTACAGTAATTACAAACATTAGCACAATTGTTCTACAACACAGGAATAGCTGCTTTTCTACATCAACAAACAGGTAACCCCCCCTCCCTTCTCTGTGTGCCCCCAAATGGTAAGTATGTTATAACAGAAAATGTTCCCTAAAATAAAAATTAAAAAAAAAAACTGAATGTAAAGCTAAAAACAAAGCATGTAAGAACATAAGACATGTACTCGAAGTGAAAAATACATCTTATAACAATAATCATGAAACTGAAAATCGGCTGAAAAGCTCATTTGATTGCTATCAACCCATAAAGGACAAATGCCAAAATTATATCGCAGTTCAAGGGTCAACAAAAAGTTAGCCCAGCCAGAACAGCTCAGTCAATCATAATTGGCAGCCAAAGTAAATCGGTTTACCACTTCAAGTGTAAACACCGTCTAACATATCTAGAGGCAGTTATTCGGTTTGGTCCTATTAATTGAGGGTGCAAGGTATTTTGGCCTTATTTATGCAAAATGTGTCATTTTTTAATCTGCAACATCTAGTTAATGGTAAACCAAATGATATACGCTTTTCGTTCATGCCTTCAAACACTTCAGCTTTGTCAGAAACAAATATTGGATTGCATAAAGCGATTCCACTCTTCTTCGTTTTGCCTTCTGGTCATCATCTTGTCTTTCTTTTGTATTCATTTCATCGTTTTTACCTAATTTTCTGAAGTAAATCATAACCTGATATATATGCGAAGCAAATGCAAACTACCTGCAATAAGGTGAAATTGACTTGAAGTGGAGCCCCGGTTGTTCTAAACAGCTGGCATCATAGGTTCAATAAAAACCAGGTTTCTTGATAACACAGGCAAAGGACAAATCATCGCCCGCTCAAAATTATTTTTACCTATCTTCCAAGCAAATGACAATTAGAATTCTGAACAGGCTAGATGCTTTATGTTCCGATACATGTCACTAATCCACAAGAACTAAAAGCTTTGACCAAGATTGTAATAACAAAAACATGACAAAATGTTGCCATGATTTGATAACCACCAGTTCAATTAGAAGTAAGTTTTGATATAACAGAAAACTCATCAGTTGCACCTTCTTGAACTGCAGTTGCCTATTGTTTGTGGATATGGGAATGAACCTTTAGAATCAATTATTAATAATTAATTATTGGATTAAGTAATTCAAGCCCCATTTAATGATTATGCAGAGGATGTTCTTTTTTCACTTCATTTGACCCTCTGGGACAAAATATGCATGGTGGGCCAACTATAAAATAAAGCATTGTTCTATTTAATAGTGGTTCACCACCTGCATACCTGCATATCGTGGAAATCCCTTCCAGCGTGAGGATTAGCTTCAAATAGTGCATGCAGATACAGATGCAAAAAATATCTGGAATCACACTTGACCCTTGCAGCCAAAAGTTGTGAAACAACTTCAGACGGAGTAATTAGGTCTCGATGCTGGATCAACAATGGAATTGCTCGTTTGCAATCTATCATCATTAATTGGGCAACCTGAAAATTCATGGATAACAAACAATAGAGTCAAAAGATCACAAGTTAAAGCAAATACAAACCAAAATCAAGAAAAACTCTAATATGCCAGTATCAAAGAACAAAAATTGTTTTGGGGCATCTATGTCTTCTTTTTCTGGAACACAAAGTAACCAACAAGCTAGGAAGCACAGATACTTCCCGAATGAGTGCCTTGGCAGTGTCAGACACATGTCTTGGGTGGCTAGAAGTATTTTGAATAGTGAATCCAATCGGACACAGCCAGGATATGTCTAGAACACGTTCAGGATACAGCCAAGATACAACGAGAAATTTAAAAAAAATATAAAAAAATTGTTGACTATTAAAAGAGATGTGATTTCTATTTTTTTTAATATAATTTTTGACATGTAACTTGTATACTATAAATGTTAATGGATGCAATGATACTTGATGAAAATAATGGATATTTATTTTGATCTATTGCAATTTTAATCAAAAAATTAATATTTACTAGGTCTTATTATTAATATTGTTATAATATATGATTTATTTTTAATATATTACAACTTTATTATTATTTAAAAAATACATTATATTATTTTAATAACCGTATTCTTTTCGTACCCGTATCCTATATTTTTTAACTTTGTCATATGCTCATATTTGTATCGTATCGAATACGACACTCATGTCCGTGTCCGTACCCATGCTTCCTAGCCAATAAGCTAATATCATTCGAGAACAACCCCAAACCTTCACCATTTCTTTTACATAAACATACCTTTTCACGAATGGCATCATGTAAGTCATGTTTTTCAATGAAATCAAATAAATCCGGCTTCATAAGCTGAAATATCAAACCACATTAAATAAATTAAAGGAAAAAACAAGCTAACGTCAAAGCAGAGAATAGAGCCACAGCTTGCTTCCAAATAATATCTTATGGATGCATGTCATACACTCCAACTATTTTGACTGGTGGCTGCATTTGTGCATGAATATTCATATGGAGCACTTACATCAGCATAAAGTGCACAAGCTTTCTCGTATTGCGCATCAATTACGTATAATTCTGCCAGAGCCTGACATGGTAAGTGGGGAAATAAATAGATGTGATAATAAACATCATACATGTATAACAACCACAATCATTCAACTGACCTCTTTGAGGGCATCAGTCATCGATGAAGTATTAAGCTGAGGTTCAATGGCTGAGATAACAGGCAATGTAGAATAAATAACAGACGGCCAAGATTTAACAGTTGACAATAGATCTTTGTGCAAAGATGGATTTGTAGCCAAAGCTACAAGAGCAACCTGAACCACAACACCAAATTGAAGCACAAAATGGCACGTCAAATAGATCATATACTTCACAGAATCTATACTACTTATTAAAGTGACTTAGGATGAAAAACTTTTATTTTCTCATTATATCCTTAATAAGCTCTATAATACCAATTTTATCATGCATTGAATATAAGCATTCATTATATAGGTGGAACTTAAAAGAGATAGAACACCCCTCTACTAAATCAACCTGCCTTCTAATGTGGGTTTGAAAATTTTCTTATTCAGGATTATTACTATACTACTTTAAAATGTTTCAATACTTGAAAAATATTTTTTTTCCACATTTATCCCTCAAAATTACATCTATATCATCCTTATCCCTCCTAATTAATGCTACAGACTCCAATTGCTTCTCACCTGTTAACTCTCTCTCTCTTAATGCTACACACTCCAATTGATTCTCACCTGTTTAACTCTGTCTCTCTCTCCCCCCCAATTTTTCAGTCGTTAGTCCCTCTCTCTTCCATCACCTAAACTCATACCCTTCATCTCCTACTTCTCCCTCGCCCTTCTCTTCTCAACTTATTTGCTTTTGATTTCAACCAACCACTATGAGACTACAAAGGACGACGTCTACCTCCAATTCACTTGCAATAATCCCATAATCATCGAACTCAAAAACAAGTTAAACTTTGCTCCCCCGGTTTCTTCGCCCTCTCCTTAATTCGGATTTTTTCAGCTATATTATTATGTATTTTGAGCTCACTACAACACAGTTCCCATTGTTTTCTCCCCTACTTCAATTTTTCTTAAAATGTGTTCATCTATTTCTTTGTGCTATTATTGTTATTCGTTGTTGCTTGGTGGTGTTCCTTAATGTTATGAAATATTTAATTTAGGATTTTGTTGATGGAATCAATTTATTGAGATAAATGGATCCTATATTTTTTTTTCGATTTTACTTATTATGTACATGCAATGATTTTGGATAAAATGGTTTGTGGTCTTATCAATTTCTTTCTCTTTCTAATCTATAGTATTTGTAATGTTTTCTATCAGATTTCGTAATGTAAATAGATATATGGGTTCACATTTCAATTAAATTCTGTAGGAGCACCGTGATATTTACCTACAATGGCCCAAGAACAATGGGAACCATCAAGATTCGAGTCATGTTGGCTTGATTGGAGGAGACCGTGAAGAAGACAATCACTTAAAAACCAACTCTAATCTAAAATTTGTGTTCTGTAAGTACCCAATGCTTTGTTCCTATATGCTTTTTTTTCTTTATTGTTTGTTACCAAGGTGACGATCTCTGAGTTCTTTGATGACACCTACAATAGTAAACAATGATTATTTAGTGAATTGTTAATTTGGAGGTGAAATCATTGTTCAAATGGCTTAGGGTTTAGCCACACGTTATCAATGTTGGTCAATTATGTGCATGCATTAATGAGTTATTTTGGAGTTAAGAGTGGTTGTGATGTAACTTGAATTATATGAATTATTCTATGTGGTGAAAGCAAGGATCAAAATGTCGTGTCGACACGTCCGAAACGTCCGAAACGTTTCGGAATTTCAACACTCCGAAACGAAACAGTAGTTGAATCACAAAATTCCAGTGTTTCGATCGAAACGGTACTGTTTCGGACCGTTTCGATCGAAACAGTACCGTTTCGACAAAACAGTGATATATTCGGTTCATTATGAATAATTATATTTAATACCCCATTATAATTACATTTAATACCCACTGTAATTACATTTAATACTCACTATAATTATATTTAATATCCCACTATAATTACATTTAATTCCCACTGCTCTTCTGTCTTTTATAATTTTTTTGTTATAAGAATAAATAATTACACTTAATACCCTACTATAATTATATTTAATACCCATTATAATTATATTTAATACATACTGTAATTATATTTAATACCTCACTGCGGTGCAAGTTTTTTACTTTTTTTTTTTGTTATAAGTATTAACAATTACATTTAATACCCTAATGTAATTATATTTAATACCTACTGTAATTACATTTAATACCCACTGCAATTACATTTAATTTTTAAGTATACATAAGTATCATTAATTTAATTTGATACCCTTCATTATTAGTATTATAATAAAATAGTATTATTAATTGGATTATATTACCGTAATAATATGATTTGGAATAACTATTATCATCATATTTATGTCACATATGGAGTTTCTCTAAGTAGCTACCCAGAGCCTACACCGATGTATGAGCCTGCTCGACACTCCACAGGGGAATGGATGTAACCATGTAAGTATGTACTCATTAGCATTTCATGTGTATTATAAGACCTTAATATTATGTAAAAATGTGTTTATTTCATAAAAATTAAGTGTTTGAAACTAATTTAAGTGACTTTCGCCTCAAGTCAAGCCTTTTTTTCCCTCAAATTTAAATTTATTCTTGTATAAATTGATGTTAACCTAATAAATATGTTGAATTAATAAATTATTTAGCATATCTTTTTAAATTAATGGATTGCATTTGTGTTTCTATGCGTTTCCATATTTTTTCTGCGTTTCCATTGCGTTTCCGAAACGTTTCTATTTTTGAGTTGACCGAAACGGTACTTCGAAACGAAATTTTGATCCTTGGGTGAAAGAATCTACAAGCCTTTGCACTTAAGTTTGGAGGTGTGCCAAATTTAGAAGTTCATGTCCCTTGTCTTGATTTTTGATTGTGAGTTGCTTCTTTGTTGAAGGCATCTTTTAGGACCTAAAATGACATGAGATAATCTCATATCTATTGATTCGAATTCTTTTCAGCAACACTCTGTGACGAGGATATATTGTGAAATCCAACGATTTTTTTCTTTTTTTTTTTCCTGTTTACTGAGTGTTTGTTGAGACAATTGAATTGATAGAATTATATTGATGGTTAGAGTTCAAATGGGGTTCAAACACTTGAATGAATTTTGCTGCTAGATAAGGTCATGCGGGTGAGTGAATTATATTATATATTACGGATTTTTTGCTTGTGTTCTTTACCATGGTGTTTTTTTACTTAAGTTATACTTCATGCTTTCACTAATAGACACACTAAATGGTTGACCAGTTAATAGTTATTGTTTGAGCCATTTGATAGGATACATTAAAGGAAGAACCCCATGTACAAACGATAATAATTTTCCTTTTGGTTTAATCTTCACTAACCAATAGTCTGATTTTGTATATTATATCTTTGAAACTGCCCAAGATCCTCTTCTGTCCCTTTGATGAATTTATTTCATCATCAAGGGCAACGTAGAAGCCTTGAAGGATTACCATTGAAGAAGACAAAAGCCTAAGATTTTTGTAGTACCGTATATATATTTTTTGATGATATAGTGTTGTGTACATTCACTAAATATACTTGGTTGTACAACCTAAATTGACATTGATGTTACTTGGTTTTGATTTCCTGTGTTACGCTTAGTGAGAGTGTAAGGAGGAAAGTCCTGTTAATATATAGAATTGAAATTTTATTTTATCGAAATAGATTTGGAAGATGAAGCATTGGGATTTGTACTACAAGCATACTCGAATATTAAAGGTTCTCATTAATTAAGCAATTGAAAGTAAACGTTGATGTTTCATTTCTCAGTTTGTACATTAAATCAACCTACAACTCAGCTTCACTAGGGTAGAACAATTGGCCAGAAGTTTTCAACCATTTTAGGTGTAAGATTGCTAGCAAAAGTCCGAATAATAGTGAAAGAAATTAAATCTGTATGAAGTGATTGCTGAATGTGAATCTTTTAGGGGAATGGACTTTGTCTATATTATGGCATACTAAAAGGAGGGTGGGAAGGATTTTAATTAAAGGTTACTGTGGGAATGTTAATATTTGATGTTTATGGTACTTTGATGTGAGATTTTAGTGCTTATTGTTTGGGCCAATATCATTGGTTTGCATAATTGAGTTTTAATTCTTTTGATACTGGTTAAAACTTGATGGAACCAAGCTTCTCTCTAATTACTTGACTGCAAAACTATAAAGATGATACATGAAAGCTCTTCAAATAGCCAAAATCCTGCAAGTACAAAGGCCCAAGCAACCCCTCTATGTTACTAGGGGCAGTGACATTCCCAGATTGGCTGGGTAGGTAATGGAGGCCAAGGGGGAAGTGTTTTTTGATTTTTTTTTTTTTTTGGTTGGGGGTGGGGCTTATAATTGGCTCATTGCTTTTGGTTCTATTTTAATATATTGACTTCTATAGCCTAATTTGACTCAAACCCCATCTCTAAACCTAGCTACCCCTTATTTTCACCCCATCTTATTTTCTCCCCCAAAGTGTTTCCTATTTTATTCTGTTGCAGCACCAAGTCCATTGAGGTTCCTTTGTGCTGGTTTTTTAGAATAATTTTCATTAAAGCTTGTTTTTGTTTTTTGGTCCCAGCTACTGATGCAACCTTTTGACGTACATTATTAACAATTGTATTCTGTTAGGTTACTCCTTTATTTACCTGTTGCTTCTTTGTACATCTAAAGCCATTCTCTTAAGTTGTTCTACTATTGAACAAATAAATTTACAAAAGAAAAGAAAATAACAAATTTATAACACACAATGGTTCATGTGCAATGCACGTGTGCACCAACTAGTATATATAGAATTACAGACCTCATAAGCAGTATCCCGTAATCTTGGGTTTTCTGTTGGCATATATGGAACCAATACAGGAAGCTGACGGAGGTGAGCAAAGTGAAAAACCCATCTGTGAGGAGTAGCCCACTGTCAATTATTACAAAGAACTTGACAGAAATGTATGCAACACGTGATATTCAGTACCTCTCCCATGCTGAAGCGGATCCTCTCAACAACTTAGGACATAAAGATGCAGCTTCCACATATTTCCTTTCCACAATCAAATGGTCAAGATATGTAGACCCCACCTAAGGAAAAAAAAAATAGCCAAATTGAAACAAAAGGACATATTAAAAAGTGGTTTCTCCCAAGCTTGAAAACCATTAAATGATTACAAATTCAATACACATAAGCATAATGTATGATAATTTACCAAGAAACTCAACTTGCAACACTTGAAGCCTTTTATCCCCAAGTAAAATATTTCTGCCCCAACTACTTGGAATCGGTTATTGAATCATTAAAATCCAAGGAGCACTAGTACATCTCTCAAGTCTATGTATGTGTGTCGGACACGTCTGAAACATAGACAAACTCAAACATATGTTGGACAAGTAAAAAATGTCCAAAAATTCTTTGGGAATTTCTGAAATGTTGGGGACACAAAGGCAGCACTTCCAGGACGCATAAACGACATTTTCAAGACACCTTCCATTTTGAAGAAATTTAGAAATAGGGTCAAATATAAATTATAAAATCCTAGTATTTTTAAATAAAAACTAAAATGAATACAAAAAAAGAAATAAAAAATAACAAGAGGTTGCCTACAAACTGACCATTAAACCCTAAAACGTAAAACAAAAATTAGGACCAGAAAAAGCGAAAGGAAACTAGGAATGTTATCTCCCATGCCACAATATCCAACAACCTTATAGTCTTCCAATGGCCTCCAATGATTGTTGTTGACATCCCATCATGCTAAAAGACCTTATTTTTTCATTGAAGTTTTTTTGTTTGAATTTGATTTCATGACTTGTTTTGTTAATCTTACAATGGTTTTGTCAAGCTGGGTAATTTCAAAATTTGGTGTAAGATATTGTTGTCTATACTTAATTATCGTCCGTGGGTTTTTCATATGTATACTTAATTGTGTCCATATCCTATTTTTTTGAGAAATCTCGTGTCAGCGTGTCCATGTCATGTATATGTGTCCAACCTTGAGCCAGTTGCCAACCAGACATGATATAACCCGTGGCAAAACAGTTGTTAAGGAACAGTACTCTATTGCTTGCTACATGCCATTCAAATACGACTCCCGCTAAGAACTCAAGAAACCACTGTGTGTAAATGACCTGAATGATTCACGGTTCATCATAATATATGAATTGACCGCATCAGAAATAACTCTGAAGAATAATATTTGATATAGAAGTAACCTGTTCACAAAATAAGAAAGGAGCAGAAAAAACATGCACAGAAAACAAATTTGCATTTCAGAGTTTTCAATCTAAACGGAAATTACTTTTAGGAGAATTTGTCTATTAGTTAGATCAGTATTTTCTCTCATAAATCTTAATTTACTTTTTTGAATCACAAAAGGGGAATAAGCACATCTGAAAAATGAATAGAAATGAAGCACATAATATCAAGTGTGACATATAAACAAAAAGTGTCAGGAAAAAAATACAATTCAGAGCACCGTTCTTTTTGACCAGAAGGCCATAATCTCTATCTACATGCCAACTTTTTATGTATGAATATAACTACACACAGAAAAGTATATAATCAGCCCCACATCAAGCAAATACCTCTTTATCAAAATTACCAAATGGACCAGAACAAAACAAAATACCTCATCAAGAAGCTCACTCCGCCCCTGTCCAGCTTCAACTGCTGCTAAAGCTTTCTCATGCCATCCATGTTCAAGAAGCCAAGAAATGTGATCTTCTGCATCCCTAATGATCAACAGAACATATGTTAGTAAATCGAATAAATTAACAAAATATTAGAAATATACAACAGGCATCATAGCAGCAATAGAAACAGCACAAGATTATTCCTCCACAGTGCGTACACATAAAAATAATGAGATACAAATGAGGATAACCATATGCCATGGAAGTGAAAAGAAAAGTATTACTAACCTAGGCTTCGCAATAACTACATCCTTTGGGGATACAATGTAGTACAATGGTTCGTCACCAGCAGCCCACTGACCACCTGCATAGCTGCTACCTGTGTTCAAATGCACAAGTATTAATCCTGTTTGGATGCAGATCTTATAAACGCAACTAAATTTTACCTGAGAATGGAGCATGAGCAAGAGAATAGTCTTTTGCCTTGTAATGCTCAAATCCATGAACAGGTAATGCATCTGTTGCAAGCTCGTCATTATTCCAAGTAACTACGCGCACTTCTGGCCTCTGAGCATTACCCTGTAAAAAAATGGAAAACCTTAGCAATTGTCCTAGCTTTCTCTTTTTGTTACGAAGAGGATCAAAGTCTTAAAAAGCAGGTTCGGGCATGCTGAGGTAACATACCTGGCGTGATGGCACAGTGCTGCTAAAGTCCTTCTCTCCATCATCTTCCCCCGGAATATAAGCTAATACAACCAAGGAATCACCAAAAGGAGCGATTCCAGAAATGAAATAGCTAGTTTGGAAAGATGCCACAATATCCACCTGGTTCATACTCAACATAGGAATATGCTTGTATGTCCCATTAGCACCATTGTTCTGATTTGTTCTTATCGATGCAATTTTTACAGATGTTCCCCACCCAATGACCAAGAGGGTATCGTCCTGCATGTGACGGAACAATAGTAATCAATGACAAGCACTCGGTAACATAACATGGGTTGAATACTTTGGTTACCAGTAGAAGTACTACGTCAAAAATGAAAAATATCAATTTGTTGTAGTAGCTCTTTCAGACTGCCACTGCAAGCTTGCAGCAATTACAGTAGCATCCACTAGTTGTGACCATGGCTCACGTGGGCAATAAACATAACAGTTACTCTTCTATACCATTTTTAAATGAATGATACAGATGATAAAGAAAAACTACGAAGACAATAAAACGAATAGGAGGGTGCATCATGCAACCTCCAAGCCTCAAAACCACAAAAAGAGAAGAAGACAATGAGAGAAGAGCTAATAATAGCAACCGCATCCAAGTCTATCAATCGTAGCGGGAACTGGAAGAGAGATAAGTGAAGGGTGATAGGCAAGAGCAAAGAGAGGGGGAAGGGGGAAGGGGGGGAGAGAGCAACAAGAAAAAGCCGAGAACATTCCTAGCCACCATAATAACATGTCACAAGTCAAACACCCTACTTGACACACTAACACATTCCAAAAACATAGTATTACATCGCACACATTAAAAATCCAAATGTGAAAAAAAAAATTTACGATAACAGGAATGCTTCCGCATCTCCTTGTGGATCCAGCAGCAACTCGAGTGCACAACTCCACACAGGAATGTAACCAATACAATGCTTTTGTCAATATACTACTAACCTGCCAAACCAAATGAGGGAGCAAAAGCTCAGGGCGTGGGCTTCCTCTGGGTCTTTCAATAAATGTTATACGTTCATCATTAGCAGTATCATAAACTTTGACTCCTGCATCATTAGCCCAAGCAATGAGGCTCGTTCTCCACTTCACCACATGAATTGGACCTTCACCAGAGTGCAGAACCTTGGAAAACAAAATGCATATTTCATTCACAAATCAAAAATTTTAACAAAACTGCAAAACCGGATAAGGAACATCCGCTAAATAGAAACCCAGAACAGACCTGATCACGGTAGCCTATCCACTTCTTTGTATTAAAATATAGATGACCTGCTAAACCACCAGCAACAAATCTTCTGGATGATTTCCTTGCATAATCTGGGTCTATAGCTATGGCCTTCATCGGGCGATGATACTCAAATTTCATTCTCTCATCAGTAAAAAGACTGTTTACTACCACAGATCCATCATCTGAACAGCTTCCAACATATTCACCATCTAGGTCAAAGCAGAGATCGTTGACGGTAGCAGTATGTGCTGGGAATTCTTTAACCTGCAAGAAACAAACTATTCATTACAGATCCCTGCAAGTTATGGCGTCCAGAATAGGTCACTAACAGCACTAACTAAAATGCAACCACTCTTCAGCTTTGATAGAGCTAAATACATAACAAAACATTAAATTTTTGCGCTGAAAAAGTACTCGTGAAGATCTCCAGATACGATTAGCTTCCCATTTACCCTAATGATACTTAACTAAAAATCCTCTACAAAGTTAATTTGCAACATAATTTTTTTTGCAGATTAATTTGACCCACATGCATGAAATACCTAGTTCATTTAAACTGATCATGTCTAGACATTTTAACCATGAAGATGTAAGCTAGCAGTGGGCACATGTTACCCAGCATTTTATTTGTGAAACAGGTGTGGATTGGGTTTCATATCAACTTACTCAAAACAGACAAATAATTTGTATTAACAGACTATTGTTCATTGTTTGAGAAATCTTATTTGCAAATCTCAAGAATAAAGCGAATGTTTAAAAAAAAAAGAAGCAACCCACCTTTTCTACTTGATCTCATTTTTCTCAGTATATTGAATTTTAGTTCAATTCTAAATTTCTAAATAAGCAATTTTTGCTTGCGACCACTTTTAAGTTGGAGACAGAATCTTGCTCACAATGTCTCATTTCATCAGCCAACACACTCATATGCTATTCAACCTCCACAAGAAAGATCCTCTCTCTCTCTCTCTCTCTCTCTCTCTCTCTATATATATATATATATATATATATGTAGATGTGAGATGATAAAGAATATATAACACATCCTTGTCTCAAACACCCTCTAACTACAAAGAAAAAACACTAAATAAGTTGAACATCAAAATACGAGTTCTATATTTGGTTTTGCAAAGGAAATATTTTGGGGGAGGTGAGGAAAGTTAATCCTTGGTTGCTTGGCATTGCAAATTTTTGTGATTCTCAAAGTGACACTAAGAGAGATGTTTCACAGTTTCTAAAGGTTTGAGACTTATCTTCCTTTTTGTTTACATTAATGGTTGATATTTTAAGTAGATTGGTGGTGAAAGCTTCTTTTTTTTTTGTGTGTGTGTGTGTGTTTTTTTTTTTTTTTTTTTTTGTGTGTGTGTTGTTTTGTTGTTTTGAGGACTTTGGTGATTGGAAGGATGATGTCTCTATATCTCAGTTACAGTTTCACTTTTGGTTGTTGTGCTTGGAAGGGATGGTGTTTCTATATCTTATTTAAAGTTTCACAGATGTTGCTATATCAATATGAGTAAGCATTACTTGGTTAGTATTAATTTGTCACAAGATAAGCTTCAAAGATTGAGTGGGGGTGGAGTAATAGGTTGTCTATTGAAAACGGGCCAATGAAATACATGGGTCTTCCATCACGTGGGAATTCTAAGGCTAAATTTTTCTGGGCTCCAGTGATTAGAAAAATTGGGAAGACACTAGATTGGTTGGAAAAGGTAATGTTATCAAAACGTGGATGGTTAACTTTAAATCCAATCAGAATATTCCAGTGACAGTTGCAAATAAATTGAAATGATGAATATAGACTTTTTATGAGATGGTAGTGAAGAAGGGAAGAAAGACTACTTGGTTAAGTGGGAAATGGACGATCATTCTAGGGGTAATAGTTTTGGAGATTCCCTAGGATGAGACTATGTGTGGCATAATGTGATTAAAACTAAATATTGGTTGCTGGCAGTGTAATTTTTGTGATCTGAGTCACATAATTCATCTCACACTATCCACGCTCCATTTTGCGTGTGAATTCGCGCTTTGAGAGTGAATTCATCATAAATTCGGGCTCTCACTCTACCAAATTTGCAAATTAAATATTGAAACTCTGCCCAGGTCACAGCCCCAAGACTTCACACTCAGCTAACCAATATGTCAAAAACGGCATGACTACCTCTACTCTACTCACCTCAATTTGAGGTTTCCTAGCTAAAGGCTTCACATGCAACCACGTTAAAAAATGAAGTGGTTGAGAATAGAACCACTAACCAATTTCATAAGCATGCTTAACTATCAGCTTCTCATGCCTTTTTGATGTGGGATGATTATCCAAGACATAGAAATGTCTTCCAAAGGCTTTTTGTTTAATCATCCACATATTGTTTCCATGTGGGATTCAAAAGTCAAATCAATGTTAACCAAATTCAATTAATTTATCATATATGGGTAAATTTAATTTTTTAAATTGTATTTTTATTAACTTTTATATATTTAAACATGTATGTATATACTATAACGCTCTCAAGATGTTCATGCTATAATTTTTTTTTTTTAATTTTTTTGCTTTTACACTCCAGCTCTCGCTCCATGTGATCTATGATTCTTATGTGAATGATTAAAGGACAACTCGAAGTCCATAAAAAACTATTTCCCGAAGTGGCCTTCTTTCTCTAAATATATCATTATGGAATGGGGAATTAATTAGATTTGAAAAATGTGCAGAGCGGAGATAAGTCTCTCTTATTATGATAATATCTGAATTATTTCTTTCATGTCATCCTATTCTTTTCCATCAAATGGAATTTTAATTTCTTGTGAATCCTTCTTTCATTTGTAGATTGATGATTCTAATTCACCACATTTTGGTAATTCAAAGATGATTTCAAATCAAAAATGTCTCTTGAAATTTAAGTTTTCTCTTGAGCTATTGCTTACAAAGGACTAAATGATTGATTTGCTTCAAAGGAGAAGACCTCATCTCTCTTTGCTTCCCCAATTGTGAATAAGAGTGGTGAAGAGAATATTGATTATCTTTTTCTCAATTGCCCAATTGCTTTGGTGTTATGAAGAAGATCATTCGCATTCGTTGAGTTGCGTCGTGTTCAGTCTCTACTTCTTCCTATATTGCAATGCTTACGAATAATTTTTAGAGCCTTGGAAAACATATTAAAGCTCCATCTCTAAGGAAATAATTAATGACAATTTTCTGAGTGGCTAAAACGGAGCACAAGAAATTTGTTAAGATCAGTGTGAAGAGAAGGATTGTTTGTAGGAAAGAATATAAATTTTGGTCAACTTCTGGGCTTCGGTGTTTCCTCACTTTGCAAAGTTTCCTCTGTTCTTGGTTAGGGCCGATTGGAGAGTAGGCAAATTGTAACTTGTATCTCTTTTTTCTTTTTCTTTCCCTACAGCTTATTGATATACAAATCGCCCTTGTTGTAATGTCTTTGGTACTAAAAAAATTTGTTATCAAAAAAATAGCATCAAGAATAACCAATGGTTGGGACAAGTTGCGTTGAATTGAGATGAGAATACATTGCATATACATACAAGCTTGAAGCTTGAAGCTTGAACCTGGCTAAGCTCATTCAAGGTCATAATCTTAAGAGTTTTCGTAGCGAACAGTCAAGAAATAAATAATATAGCATACATACAAAACCAGTTCTCATAGAGGATTTCGCGAATATGAGTGCCTATTTAGATCTTCCAAATGATTGCAAGCATGATCTTCACTATTTAACTGAATTAGAAAGATAAATAACCTGAATTCCCATTTTAACAACCAAAATAGCAACAAACAACGTAAAAAAAAAAAGAAATTTCGATTGAAGTAAGTATACATAAAAATGAAAAATCTACCTGATTGCCAAGGAAATCAAGAATATGGACGGATCCCGCGTGAGTACCCAACGCGATCATTCGCTCCGCCACGGCTATACACGAAGCGGCATCACTGGAGAGAAGCGATGGAACACTACCTCCCATTCTTTGGTACTTGAGCCTCGGCTCATCCTCTTCTTCTTCTTCTTCTTCCTCCTCCTCGTCGGAATCTTCTTCATCTTCTCTCTCATCGTCACCTTCGATTCCATTCTCCGATGGCTTAGAAGACATTGCAAATCTCTTCCTATCTGCCGCAGGGCAAAGAGAATGAATGAATGATTAGAAGAGAGAGATCTGTTTGGCTGGGATTGGTGATTTGCGAGGGCTTTTTTGAGCTTGGGTTAAGGTTATGCTTGGTACCTATTATTTAAACAGTATTTTTAGTATTTATTAGCAACAAAACAAAAGAGTATTGACGAATAAAGGGAGATGATTGACACACGTCCTACCTCATTTTTCCAGTCGTTTGGGTGTCTCTACTATGTCGTTTTTCTCTTTGGACAACTGAACTTTTTTGAAGTAGGGTTCTTTTTTTTTAAGATAATTTCATAAAGGATTTGAAATAATTGAATGTTATAGATATCATTCATTACTTTTGATCATATAATTGATATGGTTGAATTATAGAGCAAGGCCCAAACTTAAAATCAAACTTTTTTCATAAAGTTGTAATGGTTTAAATCAAACCAGCAATTTCATGTCAAAGTTAATAGAGTTAAGTTCAACGGGTAGTTTAAGTCAGATGTTTTTTACTTAAATCTTGTCAATCTTTTAGAGTAAGTTGTGAAATTTATTTATCGTGAATATCTTAATCTCGATGTTGATGACCTGTCTTTTACTAATTCAGAGAGAAAATTATGCGAGGTGCATATAATAGAACTGTGTGATAAAATTGATTTTTTCTTTTTGAAGAGAACGCACATTGCATAAGAACGATTTCTAAACAACCAAAAACCATATTTGTGGCCGAATACTTTTCCAATCAAAACAATTGTGAAAAATACAAATGAATATGAACATGGTAGATTTTTTATTTTCCAATTAATTAGATTTGCACCCAACTTAATTAATAATAATTTTTTTAACTAGAGTAAGGTTCAGTGACATGAACGCGTTCATCACTATTACTGAGGTGCCTATACAAAAAAATCCTTAATGTCGACATTTAGGAAGGAGATAAGGTGGGGCGAGAGATAAGGAGGGGCGGGCGGATGACGATGAAGGAAACGTCATAAAACCGACAATTGATGGTGGTTGGAGACTTGAGCAAAGGCTGCACGGAAGAGGCAAAGCTAATACAGTACTTGCTGTTTTGTTGTTTACTTAAAGTTTAGAGAGAATAACATTCACGTTTCACGAGATTTGTTAATTAATTATTTAGGTATCTTATAATTTAAAATATTATATTTAGATTTTCTAAAATTTGTACGCACGTAACAATTGAAACCCTGTTATAAATATATCTATTAATAAATTACTCTTTGAAATTTATAAACATATATTACTTAAATTCCTTAACTTTAAAATATTATATTTATACAAAAAATATTTCAATTAAAGATAGAATATTAAATTTTTAAAATTTTACAATTAAAATTCATGTTCTATTGTATCATTTATTGAAATAAGATAAAAATTCAAAATTCAAAATTTTCTTAAAAAAGCATAATTAGTATATAATTATATTGTCTATTAGAATTTAATTTAGTCGTTTAAATGACCAAATAAAAATATCAAACTATCCCAATTGAAGCTAAAAGATATTGTGTTCAGTATAATTTGACCCCTTATTTATTTTTTTAGTTTTATTCTAATATATATTATAATTTTTTACTAATTATGTTTTTAAAAAAAAAAAATTATTTTTTGATTTTATTTAAATAAATGACATAATAGAACATGAATTTTGGTTATAAAATTCATGTTTTATTAAAAATGACTTAGACCCCTTATTTATTTTTTTAGTGTAGGTGTAATTTATTAACATATATTAATAGTAAGGGTATAAGGGTTGCACACGTACAAATTTTAGGGAGTCTGTGTGTAATATTTTAAAGATTATGAGATTTAAGTGATTAAGTAACAAGCCTTAAAATATCTAAATGTAATTCTTTCTAAAGTTTATTGTGGTGTCTCATGCAAATGTGATATTAAAAAAGCATCGAAAGTTTAAAGGCCTTTAACGTAAATATAGATAAATTTGGGTTTTCAGATATTAATACAAAACATCAACAATCTTCGTTACTTTCCTGACGACACTTGCAAGGAAGCCCAATTCCAACCAAAATTGAAAGGACATTCACGTGCAACAACTACAAATACAATGCCAAGGGGTTGAAACTTTGGCAAGTTGGTATGATAACTGATAAGGAGATTAATTCGCTGAACTCATTAAATAAATTAATAAATAGTAATTTGACTGAGAATGATATGAACCCATTAAACATAATTTTTACATGAGTTAACTTGATACATTACAAATTCAATTACACAATGACTATAGATCTAGTATGTGATCACGTGATGAGCCAGGTTGACCCATGACCACAGTGGTCCTAGCTATCGGGCTAGTACATTAAACGTCGGCTTTTGGTGGATGTTTATTTGGAAGTACAAAAATCATTTAGATGATTTATGAAATTTAAAAAGTATTTTTTTTAATAAATATTTATCAAAAGTGTTTATAAGAAAAATATTTTTATTAAATAAGTATTGTTTTGATACTCAAAATTTAAAATGTTTAAATTAATGTATTTTATAAAAAATACATTTGGATGTGAAAACACTTATTTATGTCTCAATTGTTAATAGCATTTAATGCACATATACAAACATATACTACACATATAATAATACACAAAAAAAATAAAAAATCACACACAAAAATATCATATTTATAAAAGTATCATACGAAAAAATTACATAGTTCAACTATCTCAATGACATACTAAAGTCGCAAAACACATGTTAATAATAAATACAATCAAAAATCATGCTTGATTGTCCCTTAGAATTGTTGAAGCAATACGTTCTCTCTTCCTATACATTGGATTTGTATCTGAAAAATCAATATCTTCTTCAAAAACAGTTTGATTTACATTGTCATCCTCCTCTAACTCCACGTTTTTATTAGCATACCTTGCAAATAATACATCTCTGATGTCATGAAGCCTTATGTAATTGTGGCAAGTCATGCAAGCAACAACAATAAACATTTGTTTAGTGAAATCAAAACTGGGCATTTGTTGTAAAATTGGAAATCTTTTCTTTAATACTCCAAAACATCGTTCAATCACATTCCTTAATGAAGAATGCGCATGATTGAACAACTCCTCCTTTCCATGAGGTCTTCCCCCTCTACGAAATTCAGATAGATAATATCTCATTTCCTTATAAAGAGTAAGATAGTCATCCATATTAGGGAAGCCAGCATCTACCACATTATATTTTCCTAAAAAAAAATAACAAAACCATTAGTTATTCTATGTAGTTAAGAATGCAAAAAAAATTAATCAACGCATTCTTTACTCATACCTGGAGGTGATTTTGGAAAGTTTAAATGCCTATTACGAATGCAATGTAATAGCACTCTAGAGTCATGAGTTGTTCCTTCCCATCCAGCATTGACAAATGTAAAAACCATGTTAAAAGAGCATGTTGCCAAGACAGTCTGCGTGCATACTATCTTCCTACCTCTAAAAAGAATCTGTTTTGAAGTAGGAACATGAGCGCTAACATGTATACCATCAATTGCCCCAATACAATTTTTTAAATATGGATAGTATTTAGGATTCAATCTGATCTCTTAAGGGATACAATTTAAATTTTGATGAGGTTTGATGATTTCCATTGAAAGTTTGGTCATCCCTAATAAAACATCATTGAAATGTCGACTTATTGTCTCCCCAGAATATTGAAATCGCTCTTGCATCATTCTATTTCGCTCATTGTGATCAATAGTGATTAAAAATATAACTAGCTTCTCTTGACTTGACACATATTTGCACGTATTGGTTCTTAAACCACAGTGGTTCCTTTAATGTCAACTAGCCCATTAAACCACAGTGGTTCTTTTTTATTTTTGTTTTCAATATCATTTTTTTTATTACCTTTTAGAATTGGGTGGAGCTATTCTCGTCCCTAAAATCTCTTTTTCCACACCTTTTAATTATCTTACTTCTAAACTACTATATTTGTAGGATCCCAAAATAATATAAAGCACTCAAAAAATAATCTCACACACAAAATAATTAATCAAAAAAAATATCAAGGAAGAAGACAAAAAACAAAGAATGCTTTAATAAGGTTACTGCTCAAATGTTTTCTTTTTCAGTGAATTAAAACTCCAACTAGTCTGCCATAGATCATTGGTTACATGTATAAGAAGACTTAAAGAGATCAAAACCTATTAAAAAACTAATAACATCAAATCTATTATAACTTTAATTAAACTACTCAAAACTAACTAAAATACCTTATGGGTCAAAATTCTTAAACCCATTAAAACTCTAATTAAAAACTAATATCAAAAAAATAAAGAATAAAACACTTGGAGAGTTTGGATCATGATAATCATTTTTTCAACTTAGAAGAGATAGGACAATAAGAGCCTTTTAGAATTTCTATGAAATGAAGTAATTTTCATCAACGTGATGTGTACGAATTAGGAAGTGTAATATATCATTTCAACTTAAAATGGGAACTAAAGATGAGAACTGGTGAACCATAACTATGACTTAAACACTACCCACAATTAGGCTATTTAGAAGATATCACTATAATTCACATATATTGATCATCAATTAGTAAAATCAATTCAACTTGATAATTCGACAGCAGAACACTAGCTAGAAGAGTATGGCGTGGATCTACATTGATGTTTTTTTTCACAAACTTGCAATAGCAACAACATAATTCACCCATTAGGCCAATTTTCTTGCATTGTACTCTAGTTTGTACATATATTTGGAGGAGCTATTTACAATGTTTAATTACTTCTTTATTCAATGCTTTGTTGTGTGCTATTTTCAAACTGAATCATAAGAGTGGCATATAACAAGGTTGTTACGGCTCTTTTGACAGGTTGGAGGTGATCTAGAGGTTACAAGATTTGGATTGGCCTGTGAACACTTTTATACTGTAAGCTTCTCTCTCATTTTCTTTCTATCTACTGTAATTGAATTCTAATGATTTGGATTGGGCTATAACTTCGGGGACAGAAGTTGGGGTTGTGAGTGCATTTATTATTCTTGGGCCAATGTGGAAGGATTATATATGATTCTTGGGTATGAGTGTATTCACTTTCTCTCTCATTTTCTTGCATGCATGTCATCAATTTCAATTAAATTGAGT